TTAAAATAACAAATCAATAATCACCAGAGTGGTTCATGCTGGTATAACCACTGGCTGATTCTAATCTGCAAACATATCTGTAGTTCCCCACTTAATTAAGCTCTGTGCTCATTTTGTAACATGGTCTTTGACGTTTTGGAAAATGACATCAGCAGCTCAAATGAGGGGCCTTCCTGCCAGCAATTTTTAAAAGCAAGCATCTGATGACAAAAGCGATGTTAGGTGTTGGGAAATTTAATTTTTAAATATACTGTATATGGAAAAAGATTGCAAACAGTACTATTGATTAGTAGAATAAAGCTTTGTGGCAATTTTCGTTAAACAGTGTTTAGGTGCCACAGAAGACTAATTCTGCAAAAAAATAAAGACGACTTTTTTTTTTGCCATTGTCATTTAAATGTCAAATTTTAGAAAAGCCTGGGAGAGGCTGCCATTATCATACACTGGAGAGCAACTGGGCAAGGAAGAAGGGCCCTGCAGAAATGGAAAGGCAGCACAATCCTACATGATGTCTTCAGAGAGAACAAAAATCCATTCAGCCCCTTCATGAAAAAAAGAGAGGGGCTGCTGGGGTCACAAGGTTAAATGCGCTCAGTCCAAAAATAATCCCTTGTTTCTCTCCCAGTGAAGTGTGCAGGGCTACTAACAGGGAACAAATGATGGGCCAAAGACGGCCACAGCTGGAATGCTAAATGGATGGGAGGGTGACATGGGCCGTGGAAAGGGGTTAAAAATTAATTCCCCGTTTTTAAATATTAAATCTATTTCAGTTTTAATGGAGTGGGAGTATAACAAGGAAATATTAAAGTGGATTATTAAACCGGAAAGAGGTGAAAGGGGTGCTGGGGTTGAAATGTGTTCTTGGTTTTTTAAATATTAAACCTATTTTAAGTTTAATGAAGTGCAAATACTTCAGGGAGATTTTTAACTAGAATATTAAAAGGAAGGGGTTGAAGGGGGCTTATATTCATTATTTCAAGTATTCACCTTTAGACAGCAGAGATTTTATTCAGGGAAAGAGAAGGTTCAGCAGGAAGGTGCTGCAGTTTTAAAAACTACTCTGCCTGACACCCCAGGTTAACCCAGATATCATTTTCGGACAGTCTGATGTAAGTAGTGCCTTGTCAAAAGTCACTAAAAAGAGGTAGTCATACCTCATCTTGAAGTTATCTTTCCAGTTGTAACACCATTGTCACCATTGTAGAACTGTTTAAGTGAAGACTATACCAAGCAGGCTGAACACACTGTGTGGCTCACTGTTCTAGGATTATAATTCGCATTTAGGATGTACGAGGTGTCAGGTTCAAATCCCACATGGGCCTACAAAGAACCTGAACTTCAGGCTTTCTTTAAGAAGCAGCTGAATGGGATACTAGGATAAATTAGCTACAAACTACCAAATGGACTAGATGGGTTGAATGGTCTACTCTCATTTGTAATCTTTCTTATGTTCTTACTAATGAAAATATGCAAAACAGCATAATTGCCAAGTACAAGTGGCTGAATAATGAGGCAGCTACACTTTAAACCAAAAGTGGCTGCGATAACAGAACCCTGAATGATGTTCATTGCTCGTTTAAATGCAGAACTGATAAAGAAACCCAATAAGGCAGATGGTCATATACATCACAGGGCCAAGTTGAAGAGAATGTGAATTCTGAAATGAATGCATTTCAAGAATACATTTAGGGTAAGCAATTACTTCCCATTACTACATGTAGTCCAAGAGTAATAAGAGTAACAGAACCACTAGCAGAAACAGGAATTCACCAGTAGCAACATAAGAAACATGGGAATTTTGGAGAAACGCAAGCAACTTTATTGCTAGCTTGAAAACAAAGGACAAGTGATTCAAGGCACTAAGGAGATGGAAAAACCCGGCATGAAAATAATGATTTTCTCAGATAAATAAAGACTGGTATTTTGTGAAACTCTTATCTTGAAAAAAAAAAAAGACGTTGAAACACAGTGGTGCTTGGTTGAAAAATAAAATCCCCCTTGTAACCAGAGAGAATGTTTGGTGGGTTTCCCCCGACACTAGTTAAATGAGGGAGAGCATCCTGGGCAGCTGATGTGCGCAACAGGCTTGCGTTCAGACTGCAGAAAAAAATGGGTAGAACAAAATTTTGTAAAACAAAGCCGACAACATATGTTTAATACTGTTGTTCTTTAAAACCTCGTCCACACATTTAAACAGTGAATGAAAAAGAGGAAAACACTTCGACTTTGGTCATATTCTGTATGAAGAGTTTTGCCATTTCCTTTGAGGTTTTTGTGATCTGACGATCAGTTTCCCCTCCCCAAAATAAAGACAAACCGTAGCAGCCAATTTAGCTACAGCACTATCTCAATCAAGAAAATGAACCCAGTTTACCAGGTTTTAGTGCGATGCGCTTCACACAAACTAGCAGATGTGACCTACTGAAATCCTAAGAGGTTACTTTGTCAAACCTCTAAATAAGAGGTTACTTTGTCAAAAGAATGGGTTATCTGTCAAACAATTTTCTTTAAAAAAAAATCCAGATAGGACACAAACCACAATGTCAGGCCTTCACTATCACATTGACATTTGCAGTACATAAAGCTGTATATTTTAAAAAGGAATAATAGGGAAATCATGAGAAAACAGATGAATAATCCTAGTGTGACCTTAACACAGAAACTGGAAATAGGAAGAGAAGAACTGACTTGTAAATCTTAAAGAAAGGTTCTCCTGTTGTATATCTTACTGGAACGTTATTATCTTGATTGTAATTAAGAAAAAATATGATTTACAGTATAATATACACAGGAAGACAACCACCTGAATACGCAATATAACCCTTAAACTCAATTTAAAGGCTTTCCACATCCTATGCCTTCAGATGATGAGACATTCTATAGCATTACCACATGCATATCTAGAACTTCAGGACCAAACAATATCATAACATCTCATCCCATCAGACAAATACCATAAACCAATCAGCTCAATCTAATAAAACAGTCCACAGAAAGAAAATGATGCATACATTAAAATTATATTTTTGGACCATCAGCTCCTATTAATCTTTTCAATATACTGTCCATATTAAACCAGCTGGAACGCAGATGGTCAGACAAAAATACTTTGCAGCATTATTCAAGCAGTATATGCCTAGTTGTTTTTAGGTCCATTACATGCAATTATGAGTTTCTTGGCTTCACTATTTTCTTCAGTAACTGTTCATTTCTGAATTGTGAACAATTAGCTGTGCCCTGAAAATGCAGTCTGAGTATTCTAAAAATATTAGAGTATTCTAATATTATAAAATTCTATATTATAAAAAATCAATGACTTTATTAAGTGTGGAGGCATTCCTCAGAGCGTACATTAAGCCTATCTAATATTTAAACTTAATATCAGCTGTGTACTAATAGACTCCCAGGAAATGCTGCTTAATGTTTGGTTTTACAATAAAACCTATAGCAAAGGACAGGTTGGATCCAACATGCTCAAAATGCACATTTTGGCTGATCACTTTGCACATGACAGCTTTCCTTTTCATCCACTACATGCTGATTAATCATTTTAAAATACTACACAGGTGTTGTCTCCATAATGACATTGCACTACAATTATAAAGCTAACAGAAAATAATTTAAGAAATAAGAAAAACAAAGCATGATCTGACAAACCTGGAAATTAGGCGTTTACCCTTTAATCAAATTTAGGTAAGTGGTTCCAAAGTTATTATCTTCACAAGCCTACTAATCAGATATTGTGTCAAGATATGATCCAGCATCAGTCTTTATTTGCATGAAAACAACTTCATTCTTCAAATGACTTCCATCTCAAAATATCCTGCACTAATGTTTCTATGTTTGTGGCAAAAAAATAGTTTTCCAAAAAAGCTGAAGTATTACTTACATCAATACAAATAAACTTGAGAGTCAATGGGAGGTTCGCCTCATTGCAGAAATACAAACGTAGTAACGAAAGAGTCAGACAAAGGTAAATTTTAAAATAAAATGCTTTTCAACCTATCCTCCCGAGGACATCCTTAACACCCAAGGGGACACATCCAACCCGGAATGAAAATGTTACTTTAATCTTTACATTGACCTAGGTCAATTTAATTATCTCATTTTCATAAAGTACCTGTGCCAATTTCAGAACCCGTTCCCTCACCAGCTAAGAATACCCAAGGGATTTTCAGTGCTTCAAATTTTGTGATCCACCCATTGGTGCTGCAAAACTCACAAACAAGTTGTCAGACCTTTTATCAGCTTTCAAATTCCATGCTACTGCAAGCACTCCAGTACCATCACGGAAATCACTCTTGACAAGCATTGCAAAAACAACCCAACTTTTTTTTTTCCTCTTGAAGTCAGGTACAGCTCTGTGCTGCACTTGGTTTTATTAGTCCTATTATGGTCCTAGGGAAGTTCTTCCTCAAATCAAACTTTGAAACTTTGTCTTTGAGGCTCTACTGATTCTTTCTCTGGATGACAAATGAATTTGAGTGCTTGTAATTATAGGAGGCATCTGCCTTCAAGATCACTGTCCTCTTCCTTCAGCCTATCCATGGAGATTAAACACACCTGTCATTAACAGTTCACTCTCAGACCAAAAAATGGACATGACAATCTATATTCCAGCGACTGTGCAAGAAAAACATTTGGATTGAGTTCAATCTTTCATGCTTCTTTCTAATTGTAGTTTCATACAGCAAGCCCTGGAATATTAAAAAGTCCCCAATGGATATTTTAAACCTTTCCCAGTTTCACTGTTGCAGAAGCTTAATTAGTCGCACTTTTCAGCAAAGTGATTTTTTTTAGACATTTTATGGCTTACTCTCCACAGACAAAGTAGTTATAACTTAAGGTAGAACTCAAGAGTAACAGTCCATTACAGTCATTAAACTTCTGTTTTTCTGAGAAAATCTTGGTGTGTTTGAACCCACTTAAAAAAACCAAGCCTCCTGCGCCAGAGTGAAAAGTGTACCAAGAGGTTTTCTGATTGAATTGGTCTTTCCTACCTGAAATGTCTTGGTTGTTGTAGTTCCAAGCAGACAGAATGGATGGCAATGGTGAGCCAGCCCTACTGTCATCCTCCACCTGTTGTGTGATGTGCCGAACAGTGTCCTTATTTTTCCGGTTCTTCCTGCGCCCTGAGGGCTGCCAGCTGTCACCATTGGCCTGCTCTCCTAAAGCGTTCTGGCCCACATTAGCGCCGTCTTTACAGAAGTTAGAGGGGGAAACCTGCTCCTCTTTGACCTGTACAGATCGGAAATCGCTGGACCACAAGGACTGGGAGGAAATGTCGTCGTGGCTGTCGCTTTTGGGCTCCTGATCCTCCTTGCCGTACGTGCTTCCCCCTTCGTGGCAGCTCGCGATGGCCGAGTCGCCGGAGGAGTTCGCCGGGCTGGTTTTCCGCGCCAGCCACGGGGAGGTACTCCTGCCCGACATCATGGACGCCAAGGCCTCCGCGCTGCTGCTGCCACCAGGGGGGGCGCTCATGTCAAAGTCCGCCAGCTCGTCGGACAGCTCAGAGCGGATGCTGATGTCGAGGGCTGCCTTGATGAAATTGTGACAAGCCTGCACGATATCCGTCATCTGCAGGTAGCTCGCTGCGGACATCACCTCAATGACGTTTTTGCTCGTCAGGGCCAAGTGGGCAGAATACATGAAGTCCAAGATGGTTTTGAAGCCCTGTGCAGTCACAATGTCTAAGTGTGTGATGGTGGCCTGGTCTGAGGTCTTCTTCACCTGACAATACAGGGTCTTGAAGTATCGGCTGCTCCCTAGCAGCACGTTCTTGTGAGCCTTGAAGATCTTTCCCTCCACGATGATGCACACATCACAGAGAATTCCATGCTGCCGCTGCTCGTTCAGCTCCCGAAGAAGCTGTCGGTAGTGGGACGTGATCTCCATATCTTCCTTCCTGTTATTCATTTGACAATCTGGTGGGTTTTCCTCCTGATGATTCTGCAACACAAACAAATTTACTTAAACAGCCGCGTGGGACACCTCAGTAATAACACGTAATAAGTCAATTTTTAGACAAAGAAAGTCAAACAAAACTAAAATTCTTCACTGATTCTTCAAAATATGCCTCTCTAAGAACCAAGTGTATTTTGTTTCTATTTTAAACTCTAAAATCTCCTTGCAGCACCTTTAACGGGAATGATTTGATTTATAAGGCAACAGCCCTTCACATCTTTTAAAAATCTAAAACCTTTACCATTCAGTTTGAAGAAGAACTTGTTAAGGAGAACAATTAAATGTAGTTGTAAGAGGAAAAGTCATCTAACTTTTTATTTCATCCCCGAACCAGGTGGGCCCCGTTTGTGCAAGGACCATTAAGAACGGCAGAAGGATCGATCCAAATGGCTATCTGAGGAAAAATCCTACAGACGTGCAAGAAACAAAAGCCAGAAATTGTTGATACAGAAAGAGAGAGAAAAAAACTACTCTAATATTTGCATCAGTTAAAGCAACATTATCAAAAGCAGTAAGTGGATTAAGGAGTGTATTAGCAAAGATACCATCTCCGCTAAACAAAATCATCAAGACGCGAAGTGTTACTAAAGCGAAGGACCGATTTGTTTTTAAACCGCAGGACTGTCAGGTTACATTGGGGGTAATATAACCTGACAGCTCCAGATCGGAGATGTGACAGCCGCATTTGCCGTAAGGCTGGCACACTTCAGGTCATGTTTATAAAAGTTATTCTGAACCTGATGGCTTGTAAGATCAAATAAATCCAGTGCATCTCGGATGTCTACTTAGACAAACACACCTTTCTTTAAAGACAACATAGGGAAAAGAACCACTATGACATGTAATGAATTCAAAATTGTTCTGGTTAACCTCATTTGTCAGTGTTCCAGCCCTTTCAGAATATTGCAGTTTTTTCCCCCCCTCAGCAACACTCTATAATACTGTTACAGAACAAAATATTCCTTATCGCATTTGTGTGAGAGAACAAATGCTCAGAAAAGTGGCGCAGAAAACATCAGATTTTGCTTTTAAAAATGTCTGACAATATTATGTGAATTTAACCTTCACAAGAAGAGCTTATTTCTGACCTCCAGGAATTATAAAGAAATTCACACAAAACAGTGTTCTGACTGCTCTGAGGAGACAATGTAGACAATTGTGCAGCTCTATCTTTTATGAAAGGAATCCCCTACATTACAGAAACAGATGACCATCTGATCTTAATCTTACCCTAACCTGAGTTTCTGGGTTCTTTAGAAGTGCACAGCAGTACGAAATCAAGTTTATAAGATACAAATGGAAAAGTTTTGCAAATAAAAATTAGCATAAAACACTATTTTTTTACATTATAGCACTCAGCTAATTTAAAGCACAAACTAAAATTACTGTAACTAAACTTGTTAAAAACAAACCTATAGAACAATACTTTCATATTATAAAAAGTCTGTGTGTTGGGAGGAATTCACCACTGTTGACTCTTAGAGAAACTTACTTTATGGTTTTTAAGAGAAACATTAGAAAAAAGCCTATCTGCCATCAAACTATAAAGGATATATACCAAATGATTTTCCCAGCAAGTAAAAGTAGAAATGCTGAAGTTTTGCAAGCTAGAAATCCCCTAATGTTCATAGGGTTGTGGGAGTTCGGAACAGCCTTGTTGTTGAAGCCAATACCCTGATTTTCTTTTAAAAAAAAGAAAAGATCATTGGATCAAATAGCTACTAAAAACCAAACTGCCTAGATGGACTCTACTGAACCCTCCAGTTGTGCATTCTTATTTCTCTGAGAGCCAAGGGTCCTCCACTTAGCCTCAGTAGTCCTTTATGATCCTAACTCTTCTGTAAACTGCTGAAGACACCTGAACATATAGCATTAGAAAGGCAACGAAACTTACAGTGATGAGAAAAAAAGTTTGCAAACCCCAAATTTAATTAATATGATTCTCTTGTTTAATGAAAACCTGTCTTTCTTAATAACCCCAAAAAATACCAATTCAATGTTTTCTAGGATGCAGTGGAATCAAGATGGAAAAACTCATAAGAATCAGTGCATGTGAAATAACTAAACCTCTAGTGTACTTAGCAAAATTAAGGGGATAACAACTAAACAAGGACTGAGTTTGTGGAAACATGTCATCACTCAATCAAGAGAGACTTCATAGGACCTCAGAAAAAGAATAGTTGATACTCATTAGTTTGGAGAGAGTTACAAAATCCTTTCTGAAAATAGTGGGCTACATCCATCCAATTGTAGACAGAAAGTCAACAAATGGAAAATATTCAAGACCACAGCAACTCTACCCAGGACTGACTGTCCTGACAAAAACTCTCCAAGAGCCACCGAGAAAATCATTCACGATCTTCAGGCTTCTCTCGCTGCACCTCATTTCAGGGCTCATGCCTCAACCATCAAGAGAAGACTGAATTGCAATGGATTTCAGGAGAGGATACAGGAAGAAACTCTGCTCTATAAAAAGAAAATTACCACCTGTTCACCAAAGAGCATCCAAATAAACCGCAAGACTACTGGAAAAATGTTTTACAGACAGTCAAAAGTCAAAAGTTGAATGTTCTGGCCACAATGAGAAATGTTTAGTGTGGTCAAAACCCAAACACTGCCTTCCAAAAAAACAATCTCATTCTGACCATTGATCATGGTTGTGGGGGTATCATGGTTGGGGCTGCTATGTTGCCTCCGGACCCAGATGGCTCGTCATCTTTGATGGAACCACAAATTCAGCGTTGTATCAGCAAATTCTGGAGTAGCATGTCAGGCCATCCATTCATCAGCTGACGCTGAGCCGAAAGTAGGTCATGTATCAAGACAATCTTAAACATACAAGCAGGTCTACTATAGAATGTTTGAAGAAATATTTTATTTCGGATCGTCTGGACATAAACCCCGTTAAAATGTTATGGCAGGACGAGAAGTGAGCTGTTCATGCAATGGAACCCTGAAATGTCCCTGACTTAAGGGAGTTCTGTTAGGAACAATGGGCCAGAATTCATAAAAGCTGATGTGAGAGACTGATAAACAGTTACAGGAAACACTGCTGCTCAAGGAGGTGCCACCAGTTACTACATCTAAGGGTTCACATGATTATTCAGATGAGGATATGTTCTGTTGGATCATTTTAGCTAAACAATCTAAATATGTTAAGTTTTTGTGTTATAGATCTAATCAGGTTACCTGGATCTTTTATGGAGACTTTCATGAAGGTCTAATTTGAGTTTAGGTCTAAAATTATACGAGGAAAGAACAACCTAAGAAGTTCAAAAACTTTCCTCAGCACTGTAGAGGTCACCAAACAAATTATCACTACGGTACTTTCATTCAGCAAATCTAAAAAGTCCATACTCAATTTGAAAGTTTAACAAAAAGAACCTGGTGCTTAGTACCAACCCCCACCACCACAAACAGTACCGGAGGAAACATGTTCTGAATTTAACTACTGTTTTTATTTTTCTGTACCATTCACTTCCACACATTGAAAATGTTTAGCAAAATGTCACGAGACTGTTTATTGTGATCAGGGGGAAAACCTTGGAGAAGAATGGTGCCTTTTTGATCCACAATTCTGGGCACAGAGAAGTAAACCGAACTGCCTTAGCTTTGTATCGCTCACAAACTCCAAATCCAATTTAACTGACCTAAAACCAAAATCACTGAAATCACATCTCCTACTTGTTTGTCTCTTGTGATAAGGTATGGCTGATTTGTGATGGGTGAGATAACAGGGCTTCTCCTGATGCAGACTATAGGGGTGATATAGAACTGATCCAACTATCAGGGCGGATCAACCCCCTTAGGGACAGCCAGCTTCAATTGTAACTCCCAGGCATCCAAGAATTTAAAAACAGCTTTACTTCCACTCAGCTGGGCAACAAGGCCATTATCCTTGGGTTAATCCTGAATCCCTCAACACTGGCAGCTATGGGCAGAGAAAGGTGGCAGGCAATCAGAAAAAGAAAAGTGGGGCACAACAATGGCCCTTCTGTGAGGAAAAATTAAAGTCACTTCCTTTCTTTCTAGGGATATTTTTAACCAAACGATCCTGGGCCTGAGCTCTGAAAAACAGGAGTGCTCACACCACAGATTACGCTTGCCAAGACCAGAGCTGATCACAGTTTAACCTCTAACCTTGCCTTCAGTCACCATTGATCAGAGTGTCACTAACGTCACCCTGAAACATTTGAAACACGGGCACTCAGACCTTTTGACTGCGGATTTAAAAAAACAACCTATAAAACACTTAAAAGAAACAAGACTTCAAAACAACCTCACAAAAACATCCAGTGGAGTTCATTATTCTTTTTTGCACAAGATCCAGTGGCCAAGCTGTTAACCATTAGGGAAGGACTGAACCTCACCTGACTGATGGAGAATTCATTCTTACTGGTTCTTGTGTCCCACTACCGTATAAAAAAGACATTTCGGCAAAAACAAGCACCAAAATGTCTTTAAAAACCTTTGATGAGTTCAGTGTTGCTGTAATTATAAAATAAAGCCTGCTTCACCGCTGCAAATTTAAAAATCATTAGGAACTTTTTAGTCTCTGTTTCTGTCATGTGCACCACAATGAGACAATACTGTATGGAGTGTTCTTTTAGCTGAAGACATCTGCTGTTGATGCAATGTTTGTAACTATTTGTTTTTTTCCCCCGTGGAAAGTTTATGTAATCCTATTCACTACAACCTGCCTTTCCTTGTGCCATTCTCAAGTGTTACAGGCTATTTACAGCTTTTCTTCCCAAGCTCCATTATCTCTCCGAGGTGGCTCACAATGACAACGGAGGGCTTAGCCTAAATTCTTCAGCTATTAAAAGCCATGAAATGCAAATACGGAAACATCTCATTATTAAAAGAGGGCCAGAAAGAGAAAAATGTATCAATCAACAACATTACTTTCAACTTGTAATATATGCATGGTCCATTAAGCACTCTCTTTAATCAAGATAATTTGCTTTTCAGGTAAACACAAACAG